AGCTATCCACTAGGCCACACTGCCTCTGTAGACAGTTTGCGGTGGAGCTTTGGGTTCATCCCACTGTTCTGTCTTGTATTACACCTCATCTGCGAGGTGCAGTGACAGCTGCCAGCAGCTCCGTGTCAGGCAGTTTGGGCCAGTGCTGGTGACAGACACTTTGAAGTGGGTTCTAGACAGGCCCCGGGTGCCAGCTCTGAGGGGCGAGCGCTATCTTATCAGGCAGAATTCCTCTCCCCTGTCCCGTGATAACAGAGCCTTCCACGCTGCCCCAGCATGCCAGGAGGTGAGAGCCAGACAGGTGCAGCTTCACACTTCCTGTAGTGGGCTTAGAGCTGATCCGCCTGACTGGTGATGCTAGCAGCGGGGTTGTGCTCAGAAGCCAGCCCCAGCCCCGGGCGCTACCTGCCAGGACACATGCACACAAAGTGACAACGCAGCCGTGCCCAACGGAGAATGGCGACAATCATTTCTGCTGTACCCTGGGAAGCTTTCACTGGGGAAAGGTGATCTTGTGCACGGGTGTCTTTGGAGGTTTCATTTTCTCCCTGGTCTCTCTGACAGTTTACTGTGCCTTCTCCATATTGTGTCGGTGTGTGGGCCGGGGGAGTGTAACATTTTGAGCTGTGTCACTGTAACCAATCTCCCTCGGGCAGTGTCCCAGACCTGACCAAACACAGAGATTACATTTTGTCCCTTCAAGAAAACGTCCATTCAAAACTCAGCTAATAGCCTGGATGTTTCTCTCAGCTCCCATGAAGGCCTCTGTTAAGCCCCAGCACACGAACAACATGGAATATGAAAATTTCCCCACCGGGATGCCGTGTTTGCAGCCAGAAAGCCTGTCCCAAATACCCCTGCGAGGCCCCCACTCTTGACATTACAGCTGTTGATCTGGCAGTCCCTGGTGGAACCTGAGGTTAGGAGTTGATGTTGACAGAAGATGTGTGGACAGGGTATTCCAGGCACGCACAGGGTTAAACCGGAGGTGTCGGGTCACCAGAAGGTAACAGATATGCTCGGTCTACCACTGCTTTATTTCCATCAGTTCTGCCCTCACTCCCACATTCCAGCTGCTGCCGCTTTTCACAGCTGGCAGCTCTCGGGGGACATTTCCCAGAGCTGCATGGGAGGGGAGGGGAGGCAGGAATCCCAGAGCGGTGGCTGGTTGGTTTGTTTGATTGTAGTGCCAGCTTGAAAAGTCCCGGGGATTGGAATCATTTATCCACAGGGTCCCCGACAGCAAGGAGGGGACAGAGTCTTGGTGGCTTATTTGTTCCTTGGCATTTAGAGCCGGTTGTAATTGATGGGTAGAACCTATACTGATGCTCCCCATCCCCTAGAAACTGAACTTACCATCAACAACTTGTTTCACCTTGAGCAACAAACAATCCCTGGATGGCACTGACTGGCACTGCCCACTTAATCCGGATTTGCACTAGAGATAGTGGTGAAAGGCTCCGTATTCCATGGCCTGTTCCCTGAGACATGAAGTCCCCTAAAGATGTGGGTTTTTCATGAGCAATTCTAACCCTGGTCTCCCTTTCCCTGTGAGGTCACTTCTATTGCGGTCTTGATGGACTATTAAAACCAGGCTTTCTTTAGAGATGGTGACCCTCAAGGGTGGTCTCGGTGAGCCAATACCCATGGGAAATTGCCACACAGCTGGGGGAGGGAGAGGCCCAAGGTGGGACTAGTGATCCTATGGTGACGGGCACTCTAGAAACACCTGGGATAGGGTATGAACTGAGGAAAGTCACTGGAGACGGAAGAGCATGTAGGAAGGAGAAGTTCCTCAAAACATCAGGGGAAGCTGCTCCCATACCTGAAAGTTCAAACGTTTGACTAGTGTGGGAATGAGCCGGGAAAACTCATTGCCTTGATGACTGGGTTTCTTGTCTGGCAGGTTGTGGGAAGCTCTGACTAATCTTCTATTCTGCTGGCGTACGGAGTTCTAAGAACTTCCTAATGAGCTGCGCTGATCTCCTTTTGTCTACGGGCCTGCTGTTGAACGTGGGAACGAGCGTCTCGCAAATCCACTTCTCTTCTAGAGACACTGGGAACTCCAAGCGCTCGCGTTCCTCGAATACACCCTACTGCAGGCAAAGCGGTGGCAGGCCCCTGGAGTGATGGATAAGAGCAGGTCAGTAGTGGCCAGAGACATTTGTCATGATTTAGTGACTCGCGCTCGCCATTTCAAAGCAGGAAAAGACATTTTGAGCCAGTAGATCCTTAGGCCCCCAGGTGAGGAACAGTATGAGAAGCCAGATTTCTGTTCTCTTCTGAGCCTTGGTGGGAATCTTACGCAGCCCGGCTCAAAACAGCACAAAAGAAAGTACTGGGAGTGGGCAGCAAAATGTGTGTTTCACCTCAGACCCCTCGCTGATTTCTCCATGTGTCCGGTGTGCACATTCACACACACTCCCTAGCCAGACAAAGGAACAATAGTTATTTCCACCTGCACCCCCCCTATCCTGCAGCTAATTCCCCTTAATCTTTCCCTGTAGTCTCTAGTGAACCGAGCCGTGAGTGGGCTCTGCACAGTATCTGTTTCTGCTGTTCTACAGAGCGGCTAAGCCCGGGGTGGCTCGGATCACTCTACCAGTCCCCAACGTGATTATAAATGACTCTCCAGGAGCACGGGCTAGACTATGGATCTGATTACAGAAGGGAGTTGCATGGCCTCTGCTCCGTCCATAATGAAGAGTAACCCTAGAAGAACATCTTGCCAATTACTCTACGATTGAACCCAGATAATGATGCTTAGAGAAAGCCCAGGAATGCATGAGCGTGGAGTTGAAATTCCCTTCTGACCCAGACGAGGGGCCCCCCGGGGAGGCTGGGACACACTTTGTGGAACAAGGAGCGGATGGATGCAGGACTGAATGAACAAGGGTGCTGCAATAACCCAACTCTATAGCGGATTGAAATAGAAAGCAGGGCGTGAGGCAGATTCCCATGTATATCCTGGGCCTAACCTAATTAGACATGGGGTCGCCATGTAGACGACAGTAATTGAACTAGCGTTCAAAGCAGTAACACAATATCCATCCTAGGACTGCTACTCCTAGGAGTGAGCGGGCTGCAAATTATTCCAACCGCTGGTGACTAACATTTTCTTTTGCCATTACATCATTACTTGTGAGTGAGTAAATCATGCAGACGGACCCAAAGAAGTGGCAAGGGAGCCTTTATATGACAGCACACCCTCCTTTATTCTGTTTATGACATGCCTTTTATAGACAGCCTGGTTTGGAGAGTTTTACAAAAAGTTTGGTGCACTATTTTTCATATCCTCCTGCATATAAATCCAAGTGCTTTAATCTCATGAGTCTAAGTGCCCAAGCCTGAGAGAGAGAGAAAATTTATAACGAGAAACCCCATTCAAAGAGCTTTTCTGTAAATCATGTCATGCTTTTAAGGGCCAATACCTCACAATTTATCATGGCTAGAAACAAATACACTATCCCGTTGGAGAGTGGGGAATCTCAGCTCCTCTCTGTTGGAATGAAGCCCTGGTTGCTCGTCTTAATGGTTCATGGGATACCAAACCTTAAATCTGTTCAGTCCTGAATGGAGCTGGTTGGGAATTTTTTCATAAAATGTTTTTTTCATCAGAAAATGCCAAATCATCAAAAATGAAGCTTTTTGTAGGTCAGTTTCAATGTATTGTTCTACTAAAAAAAAAAGAGTTTGGAAAAAAAGGTTTTAAAATTGTTGACGTGTTTCATTTTGACATGTTTCGAATGAAGCAGTCTGGCTTTCCAGTTTGAAACCGCTTATTGTTTTCAAATTTAAGCTAAAATACAGGTTTTTTTTTAAAGTGTCAAAACTGAAAATACACGGGTTCCAAATTATTGAGGCAAAACATTTCGATGGACCCAAACAATTTTTTTCCCCCCAGTGGACAAAAAAAGTTGAGATTTTGACTTTAGGTCCCAACTCAGGATGGGAACAATTTTTAAAAACATCCACGAGGCAGGAAAATAACCCCCCACCCAGCTCTATGGAATGTGACACTGATCTGAGATGTAGGATGGGACATTCTGGGGGAAAGGCCCCATTTGCAGGAAAGAAGGTAGAAATCCGTTGGCAGGTTTCTTTGTTTTAAGAGCAGTTGCTTGGAAGCTGCTCAAGGATTTGAGAGCTTAGAATACACAGACTTAGGGGGCAGAGTGCAGGTGAGGTGGCCAAGGAGAGATGAAAAAGCCATTTGTCACAGGGGCCTGTGATTTTTCACAAGAGGATACAAAAGGGTAGGCTAGGCTAGGCTCTTAACTCCCAGTGAGGGCAATGGAAATTAGGAACCTACATACTTCTGAGGATCTGGTCCCCGGTTTCACAAAGGGAGAGCCGGCTGGGAAGAATACCTGCTCTGAATTGCAGCTAGATGGGGTTAGGAGTGTCTCCTCCCCAGGGGCTGCTGGGGCTCCAGTCCTGACCTGATGGATGGCTGGGTGATTCCCTGTTCTGTTCATTCCCTCTGGGGCGCCTGACATTGGCCGCTGTGGGAAGACAGGACACTGGGCTGGGTGGACCTTTGCTCTGACCCAGTGTGGCTGTTCTAATGACCTGATTAGGGCTGAAAGCACCAGCCCAACCTCTGCCCATTGACTGATCCCCGCAGCCCTTTGAAAACAGCCCGGAGTTTAGGCGAAGCTGGTTTGCATCTGAATCCCAGGGCTCTGGACCCGCTGGAGCCCCGCCGACGGCTGTGCGTGTGGGGCGGGATGTTGATTTTTCCCTGCAACAAGCCAGGGCTTTATCAGGCCCATCGCTTTCCCACGGTTTTCTGTTGCCAGTGAGGTCACTGGTCCCTTTAAACCGCGGCGCGGACCAATCACCGAGGCGGGCAGGGGGGCGGAGGGGGGGCACCCGGGTCGGTTCACACGGGCTGCTCCTTTGACGGGAAGGCGGGGGCCGGGAGGGGAGTGGGAACCTGGGAAAGCCGGAGCCGCCGAGCGATCCGTCACCCCGAGCAGAGGGAGACGGGGCTGGAGGGGAGCGGGCGGAGGAGCTGCCCGCAGGCGTCGGGGGCGATTTCCTCTTCCCAGCGGGGGGAAGGGGGGGCGTCTCTTCCCTTCCTAGAGCCAGAAGGGGAGCAGGGCCGCGGAGACAGGACTGATCGCACCGCGCCCGGCCAGGGTGGGACAGCTCCCAACCCCCCTCCCACGACCCCCATAAACCCCCACGTGCGGGGAGGGTGCGGGACAGCCTCCCCCCCATACACGTGCGGGGGAGCCTCTAACCCCCCATACACCCCCGATCGCCCCCACGTGCGGGACAGCCTGTTCTCCCCACGTGCGGGGAGGGTGCGGGACAACCCCCCATAGACCCCCGATCGCCCCCACGTGCGGGGAGGGTGTAGAGGAGGCTGTTTGCTCGCCGCTGTCTCGGAGGATGAAGAGGCTGAGCGAGGAGAGCTGGTCGGGCTCCGAGTCGGACGGGACCATAGACGTGGGCAAAGAGGAGGAATACAGGTAAGGCGGCAGCACCTGGGAGGGGCAGTGAGGGGTGGGGGGGGGCTGGCATGGGGGTCCGGGCGCACTGGGGCAGGGGGGCTGGAGAAATTTGCACAGTGGGGGCGGGAGGGCCGAGAGCCCTTGAACCAAACTGTGAACCCTGGATATGATGGAAGTTAGTGGGGGGGGGGGGGCGGCACACCTCTAGTTCCAGCACCGGGGAGGTGGATTTAGAGCCCAGCAGGGTCCTTCCAGCAGTTCCAGAGTCAGGCACCGGGAGCTCCCATCTCAGCCGCGCCACCCACTTGGGGCCACAGGGTGAACCCCATCTGCAAATTTGGGCTAATCCCAGAAGGGCCGAGGAGGGGGTGAGGATGATTGGTGCCGGGCTCTGGGGCTGGGAAGTGCTAACCTCCCAGCTGAAAAGCAAACAGACACTCACCCCAGCCCCCAGCGAAGGAATAGTGATCTGCCAGCCCTGGAGGAAATGCCAAACTAAGGCTAAAGTTTCCCGCTCTCCCATCATAGCTAAAGGAAAGGAATAATCTAACCTTCTTTAACTGGAGCTCCTCGCTCCCCAGGAGAGAGCTATGTATGTTCCCCTAATGCAAGTGCGACTCTCTATTATCTGCAGCCCTGTTTATCTGAAACTTCCCAAAGAATTTTGGATGAGCGACAAGTATCAGGGGGCAGCCGTGTTAGTCTGTATCCACAAAAACAACGAGGAGTCCGGGGGCACCTTAAAAACGAACAGATTTATTTGGGCATCAGCTTTCGTGGGCAAAAACCCCACAAATCTGTTAGTCTTTAAGGTGCCCCCGGACTCCTCGTTGTTGTTTTTTTGGATGAGTGAGTTTGTCCTGCACTAGCCACGCTGTCCGTGGATTCATAATGCACCCACTGCCTGGTTATGCCAAGGTTCATTTGCTCTTTATTGAATGGGGGAGGGTTTGTGGTTTTCCCGTGTAAGAGTTTTTTACACTGTACAAACGAAACAATGTTAGCAATGGACCTTACCCGTCCAGTTAACTGAGTTTCAGCTTCTGGGCTCCTGTCAGGCTCGAGAGCTCTGCAACTTGGTAAAGGAAAGGAGCTGACCCGATGCGATTTCCCCCTCTAGGGTGCTATTTTCTGTATGTTAAGGGAGTCTTGCTGCTGTCCTCTGTTTGCCAGGAACCCAGGCACTGTCAGTGCAAACACAGACAGAGTAGGAATGTATGAAGAACTCTTGTTTTCTTCTCTAACCTGTACGTCAGTGGCTTCTGCACACTCATGTCTGCACCCAGTATCCCCCAGTGCACCCGTAGAAATAAGCCCTTCACTGCTTGATATCCCGAATAGAGAAATCACCCGTGGCCACATTCAGTGAGCCTCTCTTGCTAGGTGCCTCAGCAGGATATAATAATAATTAATGGAGACATCCCATCTCTTAGAACTGGAAGGGACCTTGAAAGGTCATTGAGTCTAGCCCCCTGCCTTCACTAGCAGGACCAAGTACTGATTTTGCCCCACATCCCCAAGTGGCCCCCTCAAGGAGGGAACTCATAACCCTGGGTTTAGCAGGCCAATGCACAAACCACTGAGCTATCCCTCCCCGCAGATATGCTTAGGCTCTCTGGCTTACAAGACACTGATGGACATAACAGTATGTAGTGGAACCGTCTCAATCATTTATGTCAGTGAACAACCATAGAGACGGGTTTGATCTCTGTTGCAACTGAAAATACGTATTTCCAAAGCAAGATGTAAAACCTAACATGATGATTGCTATATTATTTATTATACTGTGGGTGGTGCGTAGGGGCCCCATTGTGTTTGTACAGCACCTAGCACGTAATGAAAAGACGGTTCCTGCCCTGAAGAGTTTACAACCTAAGTAATGTACTAATGTAAGAAAAGTAACAGGCAAAGAGAAACACCTCCAAGTAGGGAGTGTTGGCTAGAGCTTGGAGTAATTTGGGACAGTAAGTCAGGAGTTTTGGATTTAATTCACCGCTGATTTGCTGTGTGACTTTGGGGATAAGCTGCTGGTGTTGTGAAGCGTAATGAACTCATGTTTGTAAACGGCGGAGATCCTCAGCTGAGCCTTGGTACAGATGCGAAAATGATTATTTTTGTTTATTAAAAAGCCAGCCGCATAATGCTACAAATGACAAAGCCAGACAACAAGAAATGTATCAATCATAGTCCTCCAGAAACTTAGACCAAATGTCCTTCAATTCCTCATATGTATCAGTCAAATGGAGGAAACCCTTTTGAAGTAAGCCAAATCCATCCGTCCAGCAAAGAGCAATGCATTCAAACAAAATGGGACTTTCTATTTTCCTACAAATGGAGGTTCATTGTATTCAACCTGAATGTTAGTGAGTTCTATTGGACACACACACTACACACCCATACTGCACATCAAATCACATCCCTGTACCATATATACACACACAATCCCACATGCAACAGTACAAATAATAGTAAATATTCCTTGCTGTGAGCACATGCACACGCTCTCCCATGTACACCCTCTCACCATGCACACACACAAACACAGTAGACACATACACACAGGGAAAACACACAGCAGGTGTGGAAAGACTACAAATATATGGGGTATATGAGACAGTACTCAAGGTAAGAGTTTGTCATTGTGTGTGATTTATGTGAAACATTGCTACTCATACTGAGAGAGCAACAAATCCATGATGACATTTTGACGACATTCATTGTGTTAATCAATAACATGTAACAGATGCACCATGTGGAGGTTGCCATCTTGCCCCTGGCTCACTAATCTGGACTTGGTTATTTGAATGTTGCTAATCACCTTTCTTGCCATATGGAAGAAGAAAAATTATAGTGAAACAACTTCTGGAAACCCCTCACCTTGTGCCTAACAAAAGGTACTTTGAATGGACCATGCTTATTCTAGGGTTTGGCCTTCTGTGCAGAACACACTCTGCCTACAGAGACTTATTTAACAGGTTCTGCTATTAAAATGGTCTGTCAAACTGAAAAATATTGCGGTTTGATGGAGTGAACCCAAACCCCTTTCCAGACTTATAATTCTTATTTGCTCTTCAGGTCCCTCGGGACGTCTGGACTGGAGAATGTTATAAACAGTGTTTAGATTTGATCATCTTTGCTTCAGATTTCTCAAGAGGCAGAAACAGTCGGTCAGTTTCAGGAGCTGCCGTTGAGAGAAAAGTCTCCCAAGGACTACGAGTGATCATTCAAGCAGAGGACTTTTGTAGCTTCCCTGTCAAACATACACATGGGTTCCACGTCCGTGAAGTCCCCCATCTTCTAATTGGCTGTCCCTATAAAGGATCTCCTTTCTTTGAAATCCAAACGTACCCATCCCCCATGCAAAGCTGCTCTTGTCCTGCATTCATTCTCCTGCATTAGACAGCAGAACTGTGACTCTGAGATGATGAAAGTGTTGTTTATACGAAAGATTTGACCTCCCCTCGTATTGTGCTTCCTGCACCGTTACTTTGGGTCTTTTGTCTCACCTTTGGGTCCCGCCAGATGAAAGGTCTGAAGAGCATTCTCCCCCAGTTTTTCCCTTTCTAGATCTCATTTTCCTGGGCTTCTGCACTGCAATGCTGCCCAGAGGATTCAGGGGGCCTGGGGCAAAGCAATTTCGGGGGCCCCTTCCATAAAAAGAGTTGCAATACTATAGAATACTATATTCTCATGGAGGCCCCTGTGGGGCCCGGGGCCTGTAGCAAATTGCCCAACTAGCCCCCCCCTCTGGGCGGCCCTGCTGTACTGCATCTTGTGACATCCGGTTGGGGAAGACAGACCAGCAGCGCCTTCAGGGACTGTATTGGCAGGCAATGATCACTGTGCAGAGTAATATAACGAGGCATTTCCCACCTACTTCTGCCTTCACAGCTGAGCTCCATCTCCATGGTGCTCCACAGTCCCCTTAATTATGGGGAGCAACTGGTTTTGTCCATTTAAAAGTTTATCTTTCAGCTGTTTGCTGTGTAACCAGATACTGCCCTGGGGAATCCGGGATAACTTTATGTCTGTCACAGGAGAAGCAACCATGCAGCTGCAAGACATGTTCTTCTCAGGGAAATAATTACATCAGGGGTTCTCAAACTGGGGGTCGGGACCCCTCAGGGGGTCATGAGGTTATTACATGGGGGGGTCGCGAGCTGTCAACCTCCACCCCAAACCCCGTTTTGCTTCCAGCATTTAGAATGGTGTTAAATATATGAAAAAGTGTTTTTAATTTATAAAGGGGGTTGCACTCAGAGGATTGCTATGTGAAAGGGGTCACCAGTAACAAAAGTTTGAGAGTCACTGAATTATATGATCCACGAAAGCCCTGATCAACCACATCGTCACCAGGCCTGATCCTGAGGCATGAGTTCCCTAACTCCTGCTTCCGTCAGTGGGAGTTGTGGGTCCATTATCACAATGACGGTATAAAGTGCTGCGGGTTTATAAAAGAGATCTGAAATCCTCATGAACGGAGAAAAACGGGGACTCTAAAGATCAGATCTTTGCTTTTTCAACAAGTCAGGAAGACGCTGGCTATTTTGATACCAAAAGACCATTATGCCTCCTAGCAGAACAGCCTGCCAGAAATCTCTCACAATCTGATGGCCTTTTTCGGGGAGGAGAGATCCTAAGGCCTGCCCAGCTCCCCCTGCCACCTCCCGCTTTACTTAGCTCTAAGTAGACTGTGCTTAAAATGGTACAAAAATCTCAAAACTCCCGTCCACGTGGGAAATCACATGTGGTGAGTGGGTGTAAAGCCTCTGTGTGTGGCGAACAAATAGACAGCATCTGAAACACCTCCCCCCCCTTCTTCTTTCTATACAGCCAAGTATCCAGGGCTGTTTCTCCCACCACCACATCTCAGATACAAGCCAGGAAGAAGCGGAGAGGGGTGAGTAGCATTTATGCTACAAAATCTAACAGCCACATTGTGCCCGTCAATGGCACACACAGCTTGAGGACATGTGAATGCTGTTCGGTTTTTAACGCTCATTACTGAGTAAGCTATATGTCAGCAAAGAAATGGGCCGTTTTAACCCTTCTGTCTCATGGATCGTGGGGAAGTTCAGGCTTGAAATTAGACGAAGGTTTCTGACCGTCAGAGGGGTGAAATATTGGAACGGCCTTCCGAGGGAAACGGTGGGGGCGAGGGACCTGTCTGGTTTTAAGATTAAGTTAGATAAGTTTATGAAGGGAAT